GGAACTCAGAGCCTCATATGTGCAAGGCAAGCACTCTGCCACTGAGCTACAACCCCAGCCCAAGAAAAAACTTTTTTTTAAGAACTAAATTTTATAGATTACCGATGATTCTTCTTCACTGTATTCTTTCATTTCTGGAAATAACTGGAACATGAAATTCAATATTCTTTTAGAAATGAGTGCATTATAGAACTATATATACTTCTCTATATTAACAAGTAAGTGTAAAACATAAATGTTCACAGAGTTTACCTCATGTAATTTTTCCGGACTTGGTCAATATGTTTTTAAAGGCAAATATTTCCTCATCAAACTAATGAACAGATATTTTTTCCAATAGATTTTAGTTATAAAATACAATTAAGCTTTTATTAAAAATTTACTATTATGCTAAATACTGTCTTAAAACAACTGAACTAATTAAATACTGTCTTTATCCCTCTTCTATTGACAAAAAATGCCAAGGTTTAAGCTGGGTGTTGTGGTGCACACCTGTAACCCCAGAGGCTCAGATAGCTGAGGCAGGAGGATTATGAGTTCAAATCTAGCCTCGGCAATGGCAGGGTGCTAAGCAACTCAGTGAGATTCTGTCTCTGATAAATATAAAATAGGGCTGAGGATGTGGCTAAGTGGTTGAGTGCCCCGGAGTTCAATCCCTGGTACCAAAAAAAAAAGCCCAAGGTTTAGAGTAATTACATAGCTTAGCTAATGTTACATTATCAATAAGCAGTAAACCAGATTTTAAATATGGCCAATCTTATTCTAGTATCTTACCACATTGTTTAATAGCATCATCTAATTTATTTCCTTTAGAAAAGCAAGACTTTTCTGGATAGGAAATACAATTGTACATTTCAAATAGTTCACATGGGCTAAATGCTTTCTGAATAACAATGTCTTTATTTTAGCTTTATATCTGACTTTCTATATCCTTGTTTTTACTATAAGTCCCATGTTGCAAGCACCAGATTGACAGTAATACCAATAGCTCATCTTTTCTTGATAGTATTAATTCCTCTTTTCTCATTATAATCTCTCATAGGGACTCCCTGAAAAAAAATATGTATTACATATGGGATTAGGTACTGATTGTACAGGATTATTAGAGAACTGGAAGCAACATAGAAAAACCAAAACAATGAGCAACAACTGTTGGAGAACAGTAGGAATATTCAAAGATCATTTTGCAACTTTTAACTTCCTTGTAATTATCAATAGACACACATATGTTCTTTCCATAATAAATCACTTTTGAAAAAAAGGAATAAGAATGTTTGCTTTTACCATTGTTCTTCAACATTGTACTGGTAGTCCTAGCTAGAGCAATTTGTCAAGAAAAAGAAATAAAAGGCATTCAAATTGAAAAGGAAGAAGTAAAACTACCTTTATTTGCATATTAACATGATTCTCTCTGTAGAAAATCCCATGGAATTCACAAAAACCAAACCAAAACAAAAAACTCCTAGAACTAATAAATTCAGCATAGTTCAATGGTAAACACACACAAAATCAGTTGTGTTTCTCTATACCATTAAAAAATAATCCAGAAAAGAAATTAAGAAAACAATTCTATGTAAAATAGCATTAACAAGAACAAAATATCCAGGAATAAATTTAACCAAGGAAATGAAAGACTTGTATACTGAAACTATAAAACACTTAAGAAATTAATTAAAGCAGGACTAACTAAATGGAAAACCATCCCATAGATTAGAGTGCTTAAGATTGTTAAGATGGCAATATTAAAGCAGTATACAGATTCAATGCAATCCCATCAAAATTCTAATAACGTTTTTGGTAAAAAATGGGAAAATCCATCTTGAAATCCATATGGAACTGCAAGGGGCCCTGAACAGCTAAAACAACATTGGAAAGAAAAACAAAGAAAGTAGGAATTTCACTTCCTGATTTCAAAACAAGGCTAATAGACATGTAGATCAATGAAATAGTATTGAGAATACAAAAATAAACCCCAACATCTCTAGCCAATGATTTTCAACAAGGGTGCCAACATCATTCAGTCTCTTAAAAAAAAAAAAAAAAAGTGTTGGGATAAACTGGCTAACCACATGCAAAAGAATGAAGTTGGACTCCCTCTACCTCATTACCTATATGAAAATTGACAGTACACTGGTTCAACAATCTAAAGTTAGCAGCTAAAACTATAGAACTCCTAGAAGAAAACATGGGCATTAATCTTCGTGATGTTGGATTTGGCAGTGGATTCTCAGATTTTATAGCAGAAGTACAGCAACAGAAGAAGTGCTACTTAAATTGGACTACATAAACATTTAATAAAACTTCTGTGCATCAAAGAAAATCAAATGTGAAAAAGGAATTTACTGAGTGGAAGAAAATATTTACAAATCATGTATCTGATAAGGGTTTAATAAAGAAGTCCTTTAGAATAAAGAACTCATACAATACATGAAAGAGGCAACCGAATTAAAAAGTGAATAAAGGACTTGAATAAACATTTTTTTCTAGGAAGATATACAAGTGGCAGCAAGTGCATGAAAAGTTGTTCATTACTGTTGATCATTAAGGATATATAAAACAAAATTACAATAAGGTCATTCACACCCAGCAGGATAGCTTTAATTAAAAAAAGAAAGAGTAGCTCTGATGGTTCGTGGGAATGTAAAATGGTTTAGCCTCTTGGAAAATTTGGAAGTTCCTTAAAAAGTTCAATATAGAATTATCATGACTCGGTAATTCTACTGAAGGGTACTCAAAAGCAATGAAACCTATATCCACAGAAAAATATGTACAAGAATGATTATAGCAGCATTATTCCTAACAGCCACAGGCAGAAACTGAATGTTCATCAATGGATGCATTGGTAAACAAATTACTGATAGATACAATGGCATGTTTTTCATCTATGGTTGAAAGGGACAAGGTACTAATACTTGCTGCAAGTTGGATGAACCCCTGAAAACAATGCAAAACAAAATAAACTAGACATATTGTAGCTCAGTGGTAGAGTGCTTTCCTAGCATGTGTGAGGCACTGGATTCGATCCTCAGCACCTCATAAAAATAAAGGTATTATGTCCGTCTACAACTAAAAATGTTTAAAATAAAAGAACATATACTGTATGATTCCCTTTATATGATATATCCATAATAGCAAATTTATGGGAACAAAAAGTAGATGGGATGAAGAGAAGAAGAAATGGAGAATGATTATATATGACTATTTTTGGGGGGTGATGAAAAAAGTTTTGAAATTAGAACTAGTGGTTGTACAACATTCTCAATTTACTAAATACCACATCAAACTGAACATTTTTATTAAATGATTCTAAGTTATGAAAATTTCCCTTCAACTTCAAAAAAATCAATTCATGTGGAAATAATATACAGCTTATTTCTAAAAATAAATGTATTTTAGGCATTACTCTTTAGCCTTCCCTAAAATTATTCTTTTAGTATCAAATAACTGACTTATTTTTTGAGCCCCTCTATAGGGTATGCTTTCTTCTTTTTTCTAGTCCAAGGCAGTAAAATTTAAATCCTTTCCTTGATGCTCTAATAATAAAATCAATGCGCACCCTTGTAGATAGGAGTACTTATTTATTTACTTCTGATATAGATTAAAAGGTTTAATTAATTTAAAAGTTTTACAACCCAATAGCAAGGAATTAAAATCATTATATAAAACTTAACTCAATCTTGATGAGTTTCTTACAAGTCTCAGTTCATAAGATCCCCCTTTTTTTGTTTTAAATTTCTCTAACAAGGATTTAATTTCCTTGAATAATTACATTCTTATGCAAAGTTTCTGAAAATTAACATTACCAAAGGTTATGTTCATAGAGCTAGTTAAATGTAAACAAATAATTTCAGGTTTTCACACTTTTTTTTAAATAAGAAAAAGGAAGCCTACTATCAATTTGTTTTAAACTTTTCTTTTTTGTAGTTATAGATAGACACAACACCTTTATCTTATTTATTCACCTAATAGACCAGTTCTTTAGATATAGTTAGTACTTTAGCTACACCAGTGGTCCTTACCCAGTGGTTAATTTTGTTTCCGTGGGGATGTTTGGTAATGTTTGGTTGTCACACCTTAACAATGCTACTGGTACCTACTGTGTGGACTTCATAGATGCTGCTAATCTTCCTACAATCCACCACTGTCTCCACAACAAACAATTATCAGGTTCAAATGACAACCTTGAAAAACTTGAGCTACATTAGTGATCTTTTCCATTTTCAGCATAAAATTTGCAGCCAATCATAGAACATTTCACTGGAGCTGTAGTTTTTTTCACATCACAAGCTATAAATCTGATTTGCAATTATTAACTAAGAATTTAGCTAAGCAATACAATCCCAGGAAAAGCAGAAGTTAAGATGGCAGAATCTGACAGAATCAAAAGGAAATGCAATACAAATCAAGTTAGAACTACATACAACAAAACTTTAAAGGATTAGTTTGTTAGATATTTAGACCTTTCCACACTTCGGTCATAATTTGCAACACAAATGTCACAGAACATGACTGAAAATTAAGGGGCACTGCAGAAGTATTATCTATTTTCATGCTATATAAATAATTTTCCTTAAGACAAAATTTATTTCTATATTCTTATTTCAACTATCAGCACTGTGTTTGTCTTTATTGGCACATTATGTCTTCTTTGGAAAGAGGTGGGCACATAAATGAAACTATTTTTTAATACTACCTCAAGTAATAACAACAAAGAAAGAAAATAAAAAGATGTTGCATCCTACTGAAAGTCTATTTTCAACTCTGACAGCACTATAAAACACTTTAAAAAATAATGCTATTTAGGATATCCTTAATTTCAAATCAAACTTCCCCAGTGAAAGCCAATGTAAATTACACTTGCTACTTAAGCTGTTAATTTCGTGGAATTTAAAAAAAAGGGTTACATCAATGTAGGCTCTTTACATTAGAATTTCAATTAATATTGATTCCTTAAGTCAGTTTAAAAATCATGTTTCACAAAATAAATACACCAAAGCAACTATAATAGTAATAACCTTTATTTAAAATATTTTTAATCTAGGAAGCTCATTTTACATGAGTTTCCAGCTAATTATTAGAATCAGAAACAAAGGAAATAAAACCAGAGAAAATTCTCTGTAGAAAAAATACACAAAGAACATTTCTACATGTGAAAAAACAGTAAACAGTCTTAACATCTGAACATCCACATATTAGACTTAACGCCATCTCTCCTAGTGAACACCACTATCAACCTTGAGATCTGATTTGTTCTTGTCATTCTTCACTGAGTAGATGAAATATGTTAAGGTGTCTTTTTCATTCACTGGAATAGACCTAAAGTGGCAACCAACTATCTATAAAGAAAAAAAAAAATCGAGGAAATTAAATTTTAGATATAACAGGCTTCATAAAATAGGTAAAAGGTACTGTTTCATCAAATGTTCAAAAGTGGTATGTGATGATAAGAGTTATTTCTTTTAAAAATTAAACTATATTTAACAAAACAGCAACAGGACAAAAAAACACACAAAAATAAGATGTTATGAACAAAAGACAGTCTGATTTTAAAGGACCCTTTGACCCTATTTAATTAAATATACATTGATTAGCAGTATATTTCCTTACATTTTAAATTTTACAACTGGGTCTAGATCAGGAAGTAAATATTTCTACTTTTAAACTTTAAATATGCAGCAGATAAAAACTGAAGAGTCCACATGTATCACACTACGAATGGTTTACAACTTAGAAAAAGAATAAAATGAAGTTCTCGAATTTTTTATATTAGCGAAACCATGAAATAGTTTACAAATATCTTTGCTGCTACTTATATTTATTAATTCATTTATTAGAATTATTCTTTATAAAGATTCCTTGAAGTTTTTTTTTTTTAGTATTTATTTTTTAGTTGTAGTGGACCCAATACCTTTATTTTATTAATTATTTTTATGTGGTACTGAGGATGGAACCCAGGGCCTCACATGTGCTAGGTGAGTGCTCTACCGCCGAGCCACAACCCCAGCCTGGTTCCTTGAAGTTTTTTCTGAACACAACTTATGAACAGAAAATGAAAGGAGAAAGGAGAATGTTCATTGAAGACTATATTTGCTTCCTTGTCTTTTTGTGGTGCTAATCTAATGTGTGGACTACAATTAGCAATAGTAGAATAGAGCAAATGGGAGGAGGAGGAGGATGATAAGCATACCTGGAATCTAGATTTCTTATTTATTAAAAAAAAAATAGCTCTAGAATAATATAACTGTTTTTATAAGTTTGGATTATCAAAATTTTCAGTTTTAAATTTTGCATTAAAATATGTATGCATTTAAATACACATTGCAGGGCTGGGGATGTGGCTCAAGCGGTAGCGCGCTCGCCTGGCATGCTTGCGGCCTGGGTTCGATCCTCAGCACCACATACAAATAAAGATGTTATGTTCGCCGAAAACTAAAAAATAAATTTTAAAAAAATTCTCTCTCTTAAAAAATAAATAAACAAATAAATAAATACACATTGCATATACATGTTGCAGAACAAAGGTGACTTTACTCAATTTATATCTGATCCACTTCATGGTAGGCAATATCTATGTTATTGCACAATCAAAAATGGACTAGATCTTTAAAATCAAATATAAAGAAAAGAGTTTTATTTTTGTTATGTAGGCAAGAAATAGAAAAGAAATTGTGGCTAAATAGCATCTTGGATTTTAACAGCATTCAAAAAAATTTTGTCAAAGAACTGAAAAAGTTCTATTTATTTTTATCTTAATTAATATGAATATTTTATTTTATTTATTTTTCTGGTACTGGAGATTGAACTCAGGGATGCTGCCATTAAGCCACATCCCCAGCCCTTTTTTATTTTGAGACAAGGTCCACTTCATTAAGTTGTCCAGGCTGGCCTGGAATTTACAATCCTCTTGCCTCAATCTCCCAAGTAGCGGGGATTACAGGAGTGAGCCATCACACCCAGCTAATATGCACATTTTAGAAAATTTTGAAATAACTACTAAATTCAAGCTACAGAACATGAGAAAACTGATTCATGTATTTATGTCTATTCTGTCTAGTAAGTGAAAAAAATTATTTTAAATGTTTAAAGTGTAAATATATAAGTCTATATGTACCTTAAAAATATTCAGATTTTTTGGTTCTGGTTCATATGATCAGTGAACTTTTCAAAACTAATGAGAGTACCAGAAATCCTATATAAAAGCAAACTATAAGTAAAAGCTTGGATAAGTTTTTGCCTCTCTTGATGTGAAGAAAACATAGATCTTAATAGTCAAACAAGGACAAATTCTGAATAGTTAAATCAGCAAGTTATGGAAACATCTCTTAAAGACTCATTTGTAGACTCTTCCATCAGAAACTTCAAAATATAAATTCTAAAAAAAAAAATGGCATATTTGTTTATTATGCCTCAATTAGGTGTTCAATAAACATTAACTGATTAAATGGAATTTTAAAACTAATATTTCTAGAATGAGGAAAAAAATTTTTCATTCGATATTGTGAGAGCCTTTATGTGAAGACGCTGTACACAATCTGTATATAATCCACTAAGTAGTCATTACATATAGAAATTTCCTAAGTAGCAAATGTTTCTAGGCATCTAGATTTTTCTACAATAGATTTCTTAATAACTTTGATCTTTCTAACCAAAATGTATAGTTACATATACTACATTAATAATTTTGTTAGCAGTATTTGTTTCATCACCTCTTGTTTATGTATACAGGCTCATTTGAAGTTTATATAGTTCAAAACTCATATATACCTCAACAAGTTGAGCTTTATTAAGTCCTGGTCTGGTTGGTAGCTTGAAGTGTCTTTTGTATCGCCTAAGTGTATTTACTTGTAATTGGTATAAGTCAACCTAGAAAAAAGTAACATACATTAATTAGTTCAGAAATTTTTTTGAAAATTTATCATTGATATGCATAATAACAATAAAAATTCAATTTGATTGTTACAGAGCTATAAAAACTGTCAATTCAGATGTAAACATTCAAATTGTGTACATGGAGAGTGTTAACTGGCTATATTAAACTTTGCTTTAAACATTAAAAAATTGTTTATCTCTTTCTAGAAAAGCTTTGGAATAGAATACTTATGGTTTATATTTAACATACAAAAGTTTTCTTCTACCTCTGGAGTATCAATGTCTTGAACAGGTGAATCACCTCCATCATCATCACTCCCTTTTCTCTTTCTTCTGTTTCGGACACTCTGAATTAAGTTTTTATGATAATCACAAATGTAAAGATGCCTTGCCTGAAATAGAAAAGTTTCACAGACTGCTTATGATTAGAGTAAAAATGCATCTATATTTTAGTAAAATGCACAGGCCACAATGAATTATTACAAATAAAAAAGTCAAAAACAAGCCATTGTTAGTACAATGGCATGTTTCTTTCTACTCTTTTCAATTTTTTTTAAATTTTTTAGTTGTAGTTGGACACAATAGCTTTATTTTATTTATTTACTTTTATGTGGTGCTGAGGATCGAACCCAGGACCTCCCACGTGCTAGGTGAATGGTCTGCCACTGAGCCACAACCCCAGCACTCTTCCTACTCTTAAATTCTTTATCTTGTTAAAACATAAGATGCCTGGCAATACTGTTAAGAGGAAAGGGTATTGGTTGGACAGGTGGGGTGCCAGTTGGAGGCAGGGGGTGGTACCAATTGAGGAAGGTAGGGAGGCAGAGATAGAGAATAATAAATTCCAATCCTCTGGGTTTTGAGGAGAAACAGTGAGAATGACCTGAATTAGTTCATGCTAGATTCTTCCTCACAATAGGAAAGATGATATTGCTCACAATTTGGCTACAGTATTTTCTGTAGTTAAAGAAAAGCATATTTTAGTAATGTATGATTTACAATCTATATTTAAACTTCAGTTACTAATTTTTCTTTCTATTAAATGTATATATTTATCTGAATACATTTTTCCGATTAAAGCAATTATTTTAAATTCAGGTTCATTTGAAATGTTTCTCATGAACACCACTGAAGAACTGTTACAATAGATAGAAGGTGTGACACACTTTTCTAACACTTTACACTCTGGAGAGTTGTATAGTGACAATGAAATATTGGGTTCCAACTACTGAAAGTTAACTCCTTTAAAAAAAAATACAGTTAAGGGCTGATTAACAGGCATTTATATTTACTTCTAAGCTAAGTTCAAGTTAAAAACATACAGGACATGTGCTATGTTCTGTATCTTGTTATTTATTTACACAAGTCAGAGCTCTGAAAGGTAGCAATGGTTCTTTCTAAAAAAAGAAATTTAAAAAAATTCATAGATGGTCAAAAGAACTGACGTGCAAAAGGACGAAAAAAGAAATCCCGATGGCTGCCAAACCGACTGCAAAACCGCAGAGGCTTACGTGCTCTCCACGTTGGGCGCAGCTGCCCTAAGAGCTGACATCGCAAACATCGTTTACAAGCTGGCTCCTCTCTCACTCTGCGTTCAGAAAAGACCCAACATCGAAAAGAACAGATCTTCCTCGACTGCGGTGCAGGGTCCTGCAGGACTCCACTTTCCTCAGACGAGGGGAGCTACAACTCCCTGGGGCCAATCGCCAGCTCGGGCAGCAAAACAAAGGCGCCTCCATTCCAGAAGACTGCCGGGCTACAGGAAAACTACTCTGGGCCCTCGGTGCGGCGGTCCCCTTTGTTTCGTTTCCAGATCACAGCAAAAGGAGGAAGAGGGAAGGCTGTGCGCGGGAGAGGCGGGCAGCGGGAGTCGGGGTGGGGGACTAGCAGGACAGGAACCACTGCATGCGTGTGCATACGTTGTGGTTGGCGGTCCGAGTTGCAGCGACTTTGATGTTTACTCCCTAACGGAGAACACACGAGTCCGCACTGCAGCCAGTCTGCAGGAGCTGTGAACCCCGCCAACAACCCACGTCTCTGCACAGCTGCCGGGACTCCGCGGGGCGGGCCGAGGTCACTTACACTCTTATCCAGCTCGATCTTCACCTTCTTCTGGGAGATGCTCTTCTGAATCCTCTTGCTGAAGCTGGCATTGCCAGCCGCTCGGCCGCACCGCTCACCGTCCTCCCGTAAACAGCATAGCTGCCCGGGGCCCGGCCCGGCCGCCCCCGGGGGCCCAGCCGCTGAGACCGCCCCGGCGCCGGGTACCTCAGCCCCGGCGCCTGCAGCGTTCCCGTTCCCGGCGGAGGCGGCGGCCGCTGCAGCCGCAACCACCGCAGCCACGGCGGCAGCCGCGTCCCCGCCGCGGCTCATCTCCTCAGGCGTGAAGCCGTTCATGTCTAGGTGCTCAAGGGCGCTGGCGCTGACAGAAATCCCCGCTCCGCCTCTCCCGGCCAGGTCCCTCAGGCGCCCTACCCGGCGGCGGCAATGCACTCGGCACCCCAAGTTCGGCGGTCGTCGGCCAAACACCAAGTATCCCCGGCCTGCTTGTCTCCGTCGGCGATGAACAGTGGACAGCGCTTGTGGCTGGGACCGAGAGTCGTGTGGCGCCTGGAGAGGGAACCCCGCTCACTGTCACATGGAGACTTCAGCAGTTGGACCGCGGCGCCCCCGCCTCCCTCCAGCCCCTGAACTTGCGCAAGCACGACGCATCTCCTCCCACCCCGCCTCCTCCACTCTGCCGCGAGGCCCCACGGGAACGGTAGTCCTCCGTGGGGGGAGTCCACCTGACCTGTGTTCTGAACCCGGCGCCTGGCGGCTTGGAGAAACTACTCATCCCGGCATGCAGCGTGCGGCGACTGGCCGGCCTTTTTTTGTTTTTAAGCACCCGGCAAAGGGGAGTGCGGTGTTAGGGTGTCTTGCCTCCTGTTTCTCCCGGGAAGGTGGGATGTGTTCAGCTATTGTTCTTTTGCAGAGTTGGTGTTCCGTCAGTCGGCCGATTCCTGAGAAGCACAAATTGTGTGTTTATGTGTGCGTGTGTGAGAGAGAGAGACAAGTGAGCGTGTGGAAAAGTTTCGGGGTGTTTCGTACAACCACGCTTTTGTGGAAACCTGAGTCAGGAACTCGGGGGACCAGGCGCTCTGCCTCAACTTGACCAAACACTGAAGCACCAAATAAATACAGCGCGGCGGGGAGTGTGTGGGGGGAAACGCCCTCCCGTCTTGTCGACCATGCCAGGTCCTCACAAACATCTACTGACGAGTTCGCAATTGCAGGGCTATTTTTCGTCTCCACTTCCGACCTTTTCAATCTCTCCTCAAAAGGATCTGGAGAAGGACGCAGTTAACATCGCTTAAAGGGGAACGTAGACCTCCCCCCCAACCAATACCAAGTCAGCCCGACAGCTCCTCGGAAACTTCCCAGCGTCAGTTCCACCGAGCGTAACGGGAGAGAAATCCGATTTCCTGAGTCGTCCACACGCCCGTACGTGCGTGCGGGCGGGTGTATGCCTGCGTGCAAGTGTGCTTGTGCTTGTGGAGGGAGGGGCAGGATGGGAGTGGCTAATATGAAAGCCTGCACCTTTGCTAGTTATTGTGCGTCATTATAAGCAGATACTGTTAACCAGTATCACTGTTTAAACAAAAATACGTACATTTCAGGCAGTAGATTTTTGAGTTTTTTTTTTTTAATACTTAAATTTATTGAAAATGCTATCTACACTGAAAGCCAAAGCTTTCCATTTCGTATGTGCATTTCAGTTCAATGATAAAAATGCATTTAAAAAAATCTTGCTTGTACTTTACTGAGCTTCTTAAATTATAATTAATATTTTAAATCAATTTTCATAAATTCTAGGCCATTATGTTTTCACATATCATTTCTGCCTTTATCTAAACTGTTCCATTTCTGGGGCTCCAATTCAATACACATCAGGTCTCCCCCTGTATCCTTGTATCTTCTGCCCTATCTTCAGTAATTTTAATTTTTAAATGTGTATCTCCTCTTATTTTGGATTCTTCTAACCTGCACGCATTCTTTCTTTAGATATGCTTTTATAATTCTTACGTTGTTCTTTTTCAAACCTTAAGTCACCTTTTATAGTTCCCAGTTCTCTGGTAAAATTTTTGATTTTCTTCCACGAACATAGCAAAATAGTGGTTTTTAAAATTATGTTTATTCTTTCTTTTGTCTGTCATTTCTGCTGGTCTGACTCATGCTTGACTCTTTTTGCATCCTTTATCTTTGATTTTTGGTATGCATTTTATCTGAGAAATTATAGAAATAATTTGAAGAATTGGGTGCTACGTTCCTATAGAGAGAGGCTTCATTTCCTTTTTTTAAAGTGCTAACGGGTACCAATAGTTCTTGTGGATTTTTCAGCCAACCATTTTGGGCTGTGCTTCTTGGAGTCTTACCCCAGAGTGATAACTAGGGTTATCACCCTTCATGTATATTGGATTCCAACCCTAGATCCAAGTGACTTGACAGATGTTGCTTGATTCAACTAGTACTACATACATTTTAAAAGATAAGCATTCTGAAGCTATCCATTATCTGACATTTTGTATAGGATATGATTTCTACCATGATTTAATTATCATCAAAGTGTGAAGTGTACAGAAAAGTAGATGTAGTTCCCAGGTAATGCTGGAGCTTGCACTGGGTGCAAAATTACTTCTGGCTATCTATTGAGATAGAATGTTATTATCTTCAAAAAGAGATTGAACATAGCTCCCCAGGATCAGAGGTGTGGGCCATCATGCCCAGCTAGAGTATTTTTTTTTTTAAGGAAGAAGAGAATGGTTATTGGATAGATAATTAAGAGTTTTCTACAATGATGTAGATTTTAAGAATGTTTGACAAACGAATAGACAGGTCCATGTTACTTTAAATTGCTCAAAGATATGAAAATTTATTTTAGAAATTAGGAAATGAGTTATTATTTTTAACTACAGGCTAAAATATTTTACCTGTTAACCTACAAAATATGTTCAGGTATTAAAAATTCATCCAGTAAATATTTAAATATTTGTGACTTTGACACATGCATAGCACTGCACTAGACCCTATGAAATATATAATGATGATATACATTCCTGCCTTTCAAGAAACTTCTAAACAATAATTTTTGATATTATACTTTCTGCTTTATAAAGCTCCTTCACAGGTATTATTTCTCTTGAAATTCTTAACAACTTTGTTCATTAGGTACAGGAAATATTTACCCAATGGAAAAACTCAAGAGTGGCAGACAGACTGATTTCTGCCCCTGCCTCTCTGACCTTTATTATTTCAATGTTCATTTCTTTGCTTGAGGGCTTTCTCCTAAATTGTGGAAGGCAGCTGTGTCCATGTGGTCAACGCAAGTTGAAAATGCCTTAGAATTAACTTCCCACCCTAGCAGCTTTCACCCACTAAAGAATTTGTTCTAACACACACCCATACACATCCTAGCTAAGTCTGAGTTTTACACTATTTCCCAGAGTTTTCCCCTGAGATTATGCTCCAGGCTTTAGCAGTTGTAGCTGCTTGATACCGCACCCTTCAATGACTGCATTCCCTTCTTTTTCTTTCTTCTTCACCTTCCACTGATGTTTCCTGCATCCCTTAGATAAACTATCTGCACTAAAATCCTTGTCTCAGATTTCTAGTGGTCCTTTCCACTTGGTTATTTCCCCCACTACTTGCCCCTTAGCTAAAGTGCTAGTTCAACAGGTGGTCACATGATTCAAAGCAGGCTACCTAGAATCCTTCCCAGGGAATTTTGTTCAATCTAGAATAAGAAAAAAGGAGCACTTTAACTTTTGTTTCTTTTTGTTTGTGCATCATCCTATATCCATTGTAACAATGTCTGGCACAAAGTAGACACTTAACATTTGTAGAATGAACTCAATCCTTAGAATTTCTTTGTTGCCAACCTGCCTTAGTCAACAGCTATAAATTTAAAAATGTATGAAATCCTGTTGTTATAGCATGTCATAGTGTCATAACATACTATTGTAGTTAAGAGCATGGACTCAGGAGCCAACTGCTTGAAATTTAAACTCTGTCACTTGACAGTTATTTGTGTTAGTTGTTTCTCAGTTCCATTTTCATTCTTTTACTCTCTCTTGTGTACCACAGGGTACTGGCATCCTAAAAAGCATTTGCCAGACTCACTTGCCTACTGATTTCAGTTCTGCTAATGGAAGATTAAAAGGCAAGAGGAAGACAGAAAACATTTTTTCCCTTCTGACTTCAGCAGCCTTAGGAGTGTTGTTCTCTTCTATCCTGGATCCAGGAATGGTAGGGGCAATGTAAAGGCTGGTTGCTGACTTCCTGAAATACACCTAGCAGAGATAGTTCCAATAGCCTCAGAAGCATCACAGTTGTGGGTTTTTTATAACACTATTTGCCTTTTGTCCTTTTAATGATAGGACAGTAGCTTTTCTTGTTCCATGTTAGTATCAACACAAATATCGATAATTAAAGTTACCTCTGGATTAAAGCACCTTCCCTTTTTGCTCCTCCAACCCTAATACTTTTGTAATGATTCTCTCAGTAATATTTCTCTCTGAAATATCTGAAGTGATTTTTGTTTTCCTGGTTGAACACTAACACTGTGAGCTTAGGCAATTACTTGCTCTTTGCTTCAGTTACTTCTATACCACAAAGATAATAGTATACATATCTCATTGGTGTTATTTTGAAGATTGACAATTTTACAATACTTAAAATCATATAAAACACAGTTAAATAAATGGCATTATATATATTTAAATGGCCTGAGCCACAAAGTTCATAAAATCTAGTCTCTCTCCATATATTTGTTATTTTGTGCAGTTTACCTCCTGATCCACTCTTGACCTTACTGCTTATCACTGTTACTTTTTTTTTTAACCTGTGTCCTTTTATGCCTATCTTCTCTGTTGCTTCTCTTTCATGTCATAAATCGTCATGCATGCTTTTCAGTGTATTTTTCTTATTTGCTGACATAATAGGAACATCTTGGAGACCCATAGGTTTAAGTGTTTGGAAAGGCTGTAATGGTGAGAAGATACTTAGGGTAGGCAGCAGCAATGGCAGTGGAAAACAATAGCTTACATTAGACCCTGAAGATGAATCCAGAATTTTTAGCTTGGGATGTTGAGGGCCTCGTGTAGGAGAAAGACTTGAGAAATAGATTCTTTTGCTTAAATCTTGTCCTCATTAAGATTATTTAAAATTTGGATGGAATTTTTTCACTGGCTTCTATTTTTGAATTTTGAGAATAGATTTGGTTTTGGTCTCATACTCAGCAGTCTCAGGTTCTAGGATTATAATTACTCCATTTTTAAGATCTTTGGGACCCCAAACCCCCAAACAAATAAATATGGGAATAAGATAGGCCTAAATATTACTGAATAGACAGAATTCTTCTGTGTCTGTACAAGAGCTGGATCGCTATCTAGAGAATTGCTTATACAAATTCCTAGAATGATTGTTAATGTTTTCAATGAAGATCACTTCTTTAATTTTTACTCTTTTAAAATTTCAGTTAATCCTACTAGATACAGAATAAACTTAAAAAAAATTTTTGTTGTTGTAGATGGACACAGTATCTTTATTTATTTTTATGTGGTGCTAAGGATCAAACCTAGTGCTTCACACATGCCAGGCAAGCACTCTACCACTGAGCTACAATCCCAGCCCAAGCTCTTCTTTTTATTTATCCATTAATCCAAATTTAAGGTATGCATAAATACATTTTAGCTTAATTAAAATTCTAGGATTATTTGAAAAGTACATCTGAAAATTTCACATTGTTTGTAAATGTATTTCTAAATACAGTTAAACTACTAAGCGCAGGAACAAAATTAGAAGACAAAGTAAATATATTACCTTTATATTTATGTGTATTTACATTAGAATTTGCAATTTTAAGTCATTACCAAACTTAAGAAAAAAAAAACTATCATTGGTTTAACCTAAGATCAACATAGTACTAATATTGTAAGAAGCATCTGCATAGACATGCTGGGACTCATTAAATTGCTGGCCATAAGGAACAGCAGCCATTGAACTGCTTAGTCATGTCTGCTTGCCACTGATAAAGAGCTGTAAGGGGCACTAGCCATAGGCATGCTTATCAATGAATGGTTACAATTGATAGGGAGCATAGATCCATGGACATGTTCAAAGAACATGCCCAATTGCAATTACATCACCTC